TACAAATTGATTCAATAAACATACTTCTTTTAACGTACGCACATCCAAAACTAACAGATAATTAAATACACTTGAAATTACTTTTCTTTTACTTTATTACAACATCTTTGATGTTTCTTGAAATACAATTATTGTTATTCAATTAATCTAAGTATGATTGCTAATTACATTCACTAATTGCTACTTTTGTACTCTACTCATTTTACAATTAGTTAAGTTCAAATTGATATTATTGTTGTGAGAAAACTTACATTTACAAACATGTACACTTATCCAAATCATATAAGTTTTAACAACTTACAACAAGTTATTGTAATTGAAATTATTGTAGGAAGATTGAAAGTTATATATGAACAAATTATGAGTTCAGTTGAATTAATTTCATTTTCCTCATTTAGTTGAAAGACCCAAAATCCCTCACTCCTCAGTTGTACTGGCACGTAACGCTGATTCTGATGACTGGATCTTCATCCAACTCTTAGTAGACATTAATCCAAATTGTTTACCTCCGACCCCAGTGATCTAAACCACACCGCCACAGCCCTTTTATTCAGTTCTGGCCTATACTTATTTCGCTCTGTTATGTTGTGCTGTAGTCTACAATGTTATGATGACTTCCGCGAATTCAGTGCAACAACATTATGTTTCCCTTACTATGTCATGTTTTTCTATTAACCGCGTACTCTATGTTATATTTTCTATAATGTTAAGTATTCTATCATAGTATGTCCTGCTGTTATTATTATTATTATCTCGTACCTAATCACTCTATTATTTGTTCTTTGTGTATCTATCCGTAATCTTCTGAAGACCAAAAGAGACTAAAGCCCATACCGGTCTCTAATATCATGTTAAACCAAAGTACAGTAGAACATTACTTAACAAGCACCTCACATATTGAGTATTTCGCTTTTGTTAATTAATTAATAAATTGTAAGAAAAATAACTCGATTAACAAGTGACGTTTCGCATAACGAGTGACGATGAGAAAAGAAGTCCCTGATTGCGCGCCTGCTACATCATTTTTACAACTTGTGTACACATAAGTAATGCTGTTCAATCTTCAGAAATTTCAGTTGGAGGTAAATGGAAATTTCTTATATTTGAATATCATCTTACTTCTCCAGTCTTTATTTAAATTGAATTTGTTACATAAGTAGTTAACATCAAATTTAATTTGATAAAAGAAGAGAATTTACTTTGTCCAATATAAGTTTGAAGATTATCTATGGATGGACTTAAATGTTTCAGCAATACCTCGCAACTTGTTACCCTTTACAACTTGTGTACACATAAGATATGCTGTTAAATCTTCAGAAATTTCAGTTGGAGGTAAATGGAAATTTCTTATATTTGAATATCATCATACTTCTCCAGTCATTATTTAAATTGAATTTGTGACATAAGTAGTTAACATCAAATTTAATTTGATAAAAGAAGAGAATTTACTTTGTCCAATATAATTTTGAAGATTATCTATGGATGGACTTCAATGTTTCAGCAATACCTCGCATAGTCCGGCTTCGATCAGTCCGGTTGAAAACATTCAAAACATATTAAATATTGAGCAAAATCAAATAAAATAGCAGTTAACCTTTTGTTTTATTATTATTATAAGTTCAGTTTAGTTTATTTATATTTGTTTATAAAGATTTTTATTATTAGAAATTAAAGTACATAACATTATTGTTTCATTCACAAAATGATGGCTTTGTTCACTTTATACAGTCAAGTCTATTTTTGTGCTGTTTTATGTTTATGCGGTTTTATTTTATTGATGGAACCGCACTATGCGAGGTATTGTTGTACTTTGCATTTTTATTGAAATAAATTTCATAACTTTTATGTGTAGTCAAACTGGCATTCTACCGCAAGTAGATGAAACCAAATACTCGAGAATGCATCTTGACATCAGACATTTAATGTGGAAGAAGCATATAGCTACCGAAAGGAAACAGCTCGGCCTGACGGTTAAAAAACTGCATTGGCTTCTGGGCAGATATTCGGGGATCTCAGCTGAAAATAAACTCTTTAATACTCTACGGCAGCGGTCGGGGAACGTTTTTAACCATTACCCCAAAATATTATTGCGTAAGACGATATTACCCCCCCCCATTCTGAATTCATGAAACAATCAATGTAAATTTTAAATAAACATTATTTATTGAATTAATTTGCATTTACATATTTATAAAAAAAAGTTACATGAAAATAGTAACAAATAGTAATAGACAAACAAAATAAAATTCTTAAATTGGAACAAACAAAAATTAATTGAAAACTTTCCCCTTTCAGGTTTTGAAAACATGATGTTGCTTCATGTTTGATATAATTACTTTAAAATTGGGACTTTTTGATGTAAGAGCAATTTGAATACAGTCTTCGGCGTTTAATCGATTTCTGTTTTTAGTTTTTATGTTCATTAGAGTGGAAAAGCCTTGTTCACAAAGGTAGGTTGTTGCAAATGGCAGCAATTTTTTTACCGTCTCGTCATGTGCAATTTTGAAAGCCTTTGCAGTCTTTAACAACCAAAAAGACGACAGATTTGCTTTGGTCTCAAATTGAATACGTGCTTCAGTATTGGATCGAAGTTCAAGAATTGCCTCTGCCAAACCTGGAGGTTCTTCTGGTATGTTAGTAATTTCACATTTAAAAGGATTTACAACCCAATTCACAGTTTGTACATCAAGATCTGAAAAGTAGTCAGAGAACCGCTCTCTGAGTTTGGTAAGATGAAATTAGAAAAATTTCCCTATTACCCAAAAAAAAATCATTTTTATCCCATTTTGGGTAATTTACCCCCGACCGCTGCTCTACGGTATTCAACTATGAGGATCTGCATGCAACTTAAGCATAGACATCATCCAGAGATTTCAGTCAAAAACATTGAGGCAATTGACCAATTCTCCCTGGTTCACCACCAATGACTCTATCCACCAGTCCACTGGTATCGCCTTCGTTAAAGAAGAGATTTCAAAAGCCAGCACCAGATATCGTCATCGGCTGGAGGATCATCCGAATCAAGTTGCTGTAGAGCTGAGCAACACAGATGATAATCTACGTAGACTGAAACAAATACAACCGCACGATCTTACAACTCGTTTCTGATGTAATGTACTTTGTTTATGTTTTATCAGTGTAGTTTGATCATTGGATCAATCTGCAATATTCTTTATTTAATTTACATTAAAAGCTTCTTGTTAATTACTTTGTATTATAATAGATTTCTTGTTGTAAATAATAAAAACAAAAAAAAAAATTTGTTAGCCTACTAAGAAATTAATAAATGCATTCTGATTGTTTGAATATTTTGTAATTATTAGAAACTTTATAGCTCTTATTGATTCTTCCTATTTTGTCATATTGACAATGTCAATAATGATTTATTTCATTTATTACCTAAGATAATTTAATGTTCACATTAAACAGATTGTTTAATATAAATTTAATTATTTTAGAACAAACAAAAGAGAAAATAAACATACTTTTTTTTTGCCCTAGAATGAAAACAAATTTATTGATTGAATTTAAAAACCTCCATGTGTACCACCAGTATTGTTATAGTACGGAATGTGAGAAGAGATAATTCAGAAAATTCAAAAAACTTTCTTTATTAATGGAAACAAATCTAAAAATATCTTGTGAATGAATGCATATAAATCACATATGCAAATGAAGTTTCATTAAACCATCATGTCTGTATGATACATATTAAACACTAGAAGAACAGTTAAAGAAAGGAATAATCATATTTTTTTTTAATAATATTAATATTTATTGCAAGAATTATACAATTACGTAAGTAATTAGTGATGGTAAATAATAATACAATAATACCTCGCATAGTGCGGCTTCAAATAGTGCTGATGCACTATAATTTGGTTTGCAATTTTCAAAAGAATCTAAATTTTTATTGACCAAAATAAATTCTTAATAATTAGTAAGGAAAATTATTTTGTTATACATAAATTTATTTTCCTTATATACTCCAGTCTCATGAGGTTTATGTAATTATTCATCGATTTAAATAGTCCTGGATTACCCGCACTATGCGAGGTATTACTATATTTATTTATATGCCTTGATCAAATTGTTTTTTTTTTATATACTAAAAAAATCTAATAATTAATATATATTAATATAGTACGTAACGGTGCGTTACGTTACGTTATGTTTCTATAGGATTTAGCAGATATGACAGATTGCATAAAATGAATAATATATTTTTAAGCACGACAAAGTAACAGAAATAATTAAATGATAAATCATCAACAACAACAACGAAAAAAAAAGGCGAAGAGTAGCGGCAGTAATGTTCACAGTTTTCATACGTAGCGGTAGTTAATTATGAATTTCGTGAGCGAACGGGAAACATTAAAAACACTTAATACTTGGTAATTGTGCAGGCCGAGAGAAAGAGATTTTAATCGTCCGAATGCGTAACGTATTTTTTTTTTCTCCACTGCAGCAGCCTTTGTCGTCGTTTGGTTTGGTTTGTTTGACTTCTTTATCTCCGCTGTGACATAACGTTTCTTCTTGCCTTCGAACGGCTGTAATAACAATAATTATCTATTAAGATTTTTCACCGCATGTTCGCTAATTACTTCATGAAATTGCTAATGGATCGATTATCCGTCTCGAGGAATGTTATTTGCTTTTCCTTGGATTTGTGATTTGAGACCGTGAAGTAAGAGTTAAGAAATACCAAATATATAGAAATAAAGAGCACGTAATCTGTGTCCAAAGCTGGGAGAAGATCTCGAATAGCTGGAGCGTGTCAACACGTAGCTATCATACATCAAATTAAATCACAAACTTATCCTCTGGAGATCTTTCCTCACCCAGTTTCCAAAGCGTGTGAGCGCAGAACTCTTCCGTTTCGCAACCTTTTTACCATTTCTTTCGAAGCCAAGAATATTCGTCCGAAAAACGCGACGGAAATCGATACCGAAACTGTAATTATGCAATAATTATTTGTATTGGCTTCTGATAAGATAATGAGAGAAACAGTTCAGCGCGCGACGACCTTCTGGATCTCAGTTTATCATCGTTTACTTTACCAAGTGGTTCTCTAACATCATCATCGGAATAGACATGCTGAAGGTCGCAGTTGTTGGTGCGGGCGTGATCGGCCTTACCACGGCCCTCGAAGTCCAGAAGAAGTTAGGTCACAGGGTTGCCGTGACGATATACACGAGCGACGTCAGCCCCAATACGACCGGGGACGTTTCCGCGGGTCTCTGGACCCCTTACTTACTGCAGGAAACGCCGGAAACGGATGTCATGTAAATATCAACGAAAATTGTAATAAAAAATATGGGAACTTCACACATGACGAATTTGTGTAAAGAGGGGCACGAATCCGTTGGGTTTTCGGTTGTCTTCAACGACCTTAACATTTATCATAACGAGATAATGCTATAATTAATGATGTTATGAAACAACAAACTAATTATGGTTCAAATCAATCGAATTTCATACATAATAAAATTGATTAAACAAAATTATTGAAGCAGTTTGTAACAAGAATAAAGATATTTTACTTGTTTAATAAAAAAGAAAGTTTACTTTTTCGGTTATCAAAAAGTTCCATGTTTCTAGTGTCTTCAACGACCTTAACAATTATCACATAGAGAAACAGCTATAAACAAACAAGCAACAAACTAAATATGGTTGAAACCAATCAAATTTCATACATAATAAAAGTGATCAAACTAAATTATTGAAACAGATTTGAATAAATAATTTGTATCTATTATAAAGGTGTTGTTCTTATTCAATGAAAAAGACAGTTTATTATTTCGGGTGTCAAAAAGTTCCATTTTTCTAGTGTCTTCAACGTCCTTAACAATTATCACACAGAGATATTGCTATAATTAATGCTATTATGAAACAACAAACTAATTTTGTCTCAAATAAATCGAATTTCATACTTAATAACAGTGATTAAACTAAATTATTGAAACAAATAATTAATATGGTGATAAAAGATTTTTCTTAAATAAATTGGAAACTATTGTTACAAATTGCATTTAACAGATTTAAACGACAAAAAAAATAATAGAAAATTCATTGAATAAAATTGTTTAAGCAAAATATTGATTTTTTTGTGTGATTCAAAAATGAAAAATTTTGTAATTTTTTTTAGGAGATGGTCTAAGGTGATGCACGATTATATCCACGATCTCTGGAAAACGGGATTCGCTGAAGAAGCTGGTATTTCTCTTCAGTCTATGATCCACTTGATCACTGATGCCAATGAAAAATTGCCTGGATGGGGAAACATCGCCTTCGGCTTCACTGAATTGACCAGGAAACAGTTGGACCAATTGGGATCAGAGCACAAGAAATACTACGCGTAAATTCCGGTTGCCTTAATGAAAATTAACACGTTATTTAGATTCTATTTAAACACAGATTAAAAGCGATTTTATCGATACATTCTAATATTTTATCAGTAATCGAATGTTTACCAGCGAAACTAATAACACTAATAGTAGATTCGAATTGCAACTAACGATTTATTTTATCATCAAAAATCACTTAAATACACTTAGTAAATTAGAGTAATTTTGCCAACAACGTTTCTCTTAAGTAAAGTGCAACTAACATCTAAATATATTGATTTTAACAGAAACATTTTACACTTTAGCAAACTTAAATTTATATACAATTTCGTTCTTATAATACGTAACAATACATTCAAACGGTTATAGAAATACCGCGAACTTCATTAACCATGGTTAACTAATTATTTTATGCATCAAGTCTGCTTGAAAAGATAAAGTATTGAGATTTAAAATAATGAGTAGTTATTTATTCAAAATAATGAAATACTAGGTAGCTTAAACTACATTTAAACCGTTAACTAAGTCAGTATTAAATATACTGTTAAATGTATTATAACCATATATTTCATAAAAATGTATAGTTACACTTATAAACTGTTATATAATATACCATACATTGAAATTTTTTAGAAATATCAAATTTATAGTACTAAATAATTTATGCAAATTACTCAAAATTAATTTAATTAAACAAATCGATGTAATTTAAAGATTTAAGTAATTCTATTGAAATTTGTACTTACGTTAATTGTCATATATCACCTGTCTTGTTCTGCAATTATAGCTTAACTTCTCCCATTAGCAGATAATTCGTACATTAATTGATGTTTAATTTACATTGACAAAGCACTTTATGTCATCGAGATTTATGTTTAACAACATGTTGCCTAAGCAACGGAGTCATTATGTCAAAATGACTTTTATGCAATATTTGTCAAAAATAAGACATATTTATCAAGTATATTGTAGTAATGGTACTTGTACAAGTACTTGTGTATGTGCAGAGTGACTCTAACTACTGGGATAAATGGACTATAGGTTTTCTTATGCATTATTGTTAGTAGCCCTCAGTCAAAAGCGTGAGGCACTTGAAAAAAAAACTACTTGATATCTGTCATGTGGCGTATAATGTTGTTGTTGATATTAATATTTCTGTTTACTTGTTGAACTTTTGATATTAGTAATCTAATTGTTTGATTTGCAGGGGTGGATTCACTTTTGTGTCGTTCACTTGCGAACCATGCAAGCTCCTACCGTTCCTCCAGAAGCAGTTCTTGTCGAACGGCGGTGAGCTGATCATGAGGAAGGTGTACGACTTGGAGGAGTTCGCCGGTAAGCACGAGATCGTGGTGAATTGCGCCGGATTGGGAGCGCAAGATCTTCTGGGCGATAAACAAATGCAGGCCATCCGTGGTCAAGTGGCAAGAGTAACTTGATTCCAACGAGAATGCACAAGATTCGTGGAATTAATTGCACCATCTTTTTCTTGACCAGGTCAGAGCCCCGTGGCAATTCAACACCATCATGGAAGGCGAAAATTACATCATTGTCAAGTGAGTATTATTACCTAATTATGTATTTAATTCAACAATTTGCAATACTTTTAGCATGGATTGCGTTGTGCTAGGTGGAACGCATCAGGAAAATGATTTCGATTTGTCCCCAAAAGACGAAGACAAACGTCACATTCTCAACGGTTGCTGCAATCTAGTGCCATCACTGCAGGTCGGTGAAATTATAAATTTATAAATAAAACTACTTCACAATTGGAAATTTTCACTGTTTGTGCAGAAAAGTGAAGTTCTTAAGCATATGGTCGGTCTGCGTCCGGGCCGTCCAAAGGTCCGCATCGAAATGGAGAGGAAGATTGTGAATGGAAAGCCAATGATCATCGTCCATAATTACGGGCACGGCGGTAGCGGAGTTACGCTGTGCGTGGGATGCGCGAAAGACGCCTGCCAACTGGTCCAAGAAGGTGTTAGCACCATTTGCAAGTCCAAGTTGTAACCGGAAATGCAACGATTGCAATCAACTGAACAATACAATAAACGATTATTACACATTGTTACACTTATTTTGGATTATTGCCAACTTAACGATTGTTTAAATTATACTCGATTTGGCATAATCGAAGAATTATCTAATGCATTTAATTATATTTGGTAACAACAACTACCATTAGAGCGGTAATCATTGATTTAATTTTACAGTTAAATTAAACTGTCAACTAAATAATTTATGTCACTATATTTAGTGAACTTGCGTAATTTCTATTTGTATTGAACATTACGTCATACAAGCTGTCAATTTGATTGATGATTCTGAAACGTCATAGTTGCGTCACATGGAAACAAAAATATGCGAAATGTATGTGTCATAGTTTTCGTGCATCATAACAAGAGGAAGCAATTAAATATAAAAGCACAAAAATTGATTAATCAAGTGCTATGAAGCAACATAATTTCAGTTTTAGAAGAATTTCAAACAATTATAAACAAATGATAAATTCATTAATCTTGTAATTCATTTATATTTTAAAATAAATGAGTATCACAAAATGCAAAGCAATTTGATGTTATAACCAAACACTCAAATGTCAGTAAAATGACAGTTAATTAGTTGAATAATCATCAAAGTTATATAAGATGTTGTGTCTGTAAATATAACATTTTGGATACAATTTAAAAAAATATAATTTACACTATATAAATTACCTTCATTAAAAAAGATTAAATAATATTTTGCAAATAGTCGCAACGCTTGAAACAAAAAATTAATAGTAACTTTTGATAACTGTAAGTTACAGTATTTAACTTATTAGTTTGTGAAGTGGTTAGAATTAAATTGCTTGTGGCGAAACCCAAAACACTGTGATTCACAAAAATACATTGTTTTAGTTTGTTTGTTTTTTTTTATGATTTTTTTTTAAGTAGTTATATAACTGATGGCTTCACTGATTTTGAACCTTATTATTTAGTAGTTAGCGGTTAGGATACAAAAAAGTATAGGATGCCCCAAAAACCTTTTAGATTGAACTATATGTAGGCCAAAAGTATCGGATAAATACCGTAGTTATAATCTGGAAAAGTCTCTCAGGATTATTATTATATTATTAATTCTCCTCAAACAATGAAAGCGCATCATATTTTATTTATTCTATTGTTCAGTATGTAAATATTAACGTTATCGGAAACCTACTTATTAAAACAATAATTTTATCTTAATACGCAAAACTCAAGTAATTAATGTTAATTATTCCTGATTATTTATTATGATGCTCATTGCTTTTCATAAACTGTAATTTAACCCTTATGTACTACGGATGGGTCAGAATGACCCACCCAGCAGAGTTACATATTAATCCTCACCGTTGGAAAGGTACTATAAGCATGATCGATTGTACAACCAAAAGATTTCCCGAAATCTTAGAATTTTGATTGCAAATATCATGCAAGTTGAAACACAACCTAATGAACGGATTCCTACATCGAAATAGAAGAAGTGCTCTTTTTGTCTAAGCAAAAGCGACAAGAAAACAGCAATGTTTTGTTACATATGCAAAAGACCAATTTGTTCAACTTGCTCAAAAAAATGCCCAGTCTGTTTCAAGCAATGAAATCAGTTTAAAATGTTGATAAATTCATTAAATAATAAGAATTATTGTGTGTTTGTTTAAAAAAATATTATTGTGTCCTTTTTCTACAATATTTAATAAACGGGTCATTTTGACCCATAGGTAGTACTTGTGTTTTATTTATTTCTCCGTAATAGTTACGGGTTATATATTCTACTTGATGTAGGCAACCAAATTACCACAGCAGCAGTAAAGAACTTCTTCATCACTTGATCAAAAGAAAATATTAATTTTTCTATCGAAATAGAAATTGAAGATTTTTTAAATATTAAAACAAATAGCTTAAATTTTCCATATATTGTAAGTATTTGTAAAGAAAATATTACTCTATTAAAATATCTTTTTTTTATTGTTATTTTGTTTTAAAATTTAAGTTGCTTAGCAATAAACAAATTATATAATGAAAAATAAAATGCGTTCTGAAGGTGAGGTGAATTCAAGTACAGTGAAACAACCTTCCAAGAAACGAGATTTTAAACTATGTAAAATATTTGTAATTCCATTAATAACAATAATAAAAATTCTGAACAACTATTGAGAAAAAAACGAAAATGTAAATTTAAATGTTAATCTATTGATGTGAATTGTTTATCACATGATATAAGAAACACATTTTAACTAATGCAAATGTTTTATTGAAATTAAATGATTTTGTAAATTTTATAACAATTTTTTTTATTTGTAAAAAAAAATACGTAAAAAAACTACACTTATTTCAGCTAAATGAATTCTGTAGTAAATTCCATTCATTGTTAATAATTTTCTGTTAAAATATCTAAATTGTTTTGAACAATAAATTGAATTTGAGACGTAGAAAAAAAAAAGTTAATTGATTGTTTTTATCGCACATTGGCTCGAATTTGTTCAAGCCATTAAATCTGTGAGTTTGCGTTTAAGGTCACTGTCTCAAAACCGTGCATAAAGTTGAGTAATTCGCTGGAATTGCCCGGAATTTTAGTGTTATTAATATTGTAATTTAAATAACTGGCGCCAATTCGATTCTTATACAATGTGAGACCAAAGAGAGTAATGTTCATTGAGCAAAATAAGTATGCGAGACGTAAGCACTTACTAATGATGTATTCGCGTTTGCCTCGAATAAATTACGTGCTTCTTCAAAGAAACGTTTCAATAATGTACGTTAATTGCCGAACACGACGTAAATTGTAAACATGATGGAATGATTCAAAATTTTTACGGTTTCATTGAGATTGATTACACATTGATTATAATTGTTCTAGTATAAAAATTAATAACAATTTAGTCATTATTCGCAAATATCAGTAGTTTGAGTCATAGTCAACTTGTTTTTTTTACAAAATAATTATCCATAGATTTCATAGATTTGTTAATTTTGTATGAATTTAATAGAATTTATTTGGTTGCATATCTATAATATATGAAAAAGATTATATTAAGTAAATTAGTTGTTATGAGATGGAAAATTTAGGCGAAATTTACTTAATTATCTAATTATTAATTGCATTGAATTTAAATTCTGTAAAAACTCTATAATGTATAAGAAGGCGCCGTGGCTTAGTTGGTTAAAGCGCCTGTCTAGTAAACAGGAGATCGGGAGTTCGAATCTCCCCGGGGCCTAGTGACAGATTGTCACAACATTTTTTTTTATAAACAAATAGTTTTTAAAATTGTTGTTAATTATATAAAACAAATTATAGTTTATTTTAATATAATAATTTAAAATAAATTAATAAATTAAATCAAAATCTCGACGTTCGAAATCCTGACTATATCGAAATCCCGACTATGTCAAAATCCCGACTACCATAATCCCGACAATTAAAATCCCGACTATATCAAAATCCCGACAGTGTCTTTAATTATTATAAATTCCTATTTTTTTTGTATCCTTTATGTTATTCACAACCTGCCAATTTTTGGCAATGAGTAGAATATGTTTGGTACAAATTTCTACAATAACATTTTTATGGTAGTCGGGATTTTGATTGTCGGGATTATGGTAGTCGGGATTTCGATATAATCGGGATTTTGATTGTCGGGATTATGATATTTGGGATTTCAACCGTCGGGATTTTAATACAGCCGGGATTTAGAACGTCGGGATTTCGATACACTCGGGATTTCAATAGACGGTCTTTCGGTTGTCGGGCTTGTGTTATAGACCCGTAATACACATTTACATATGACACAAGCTAAGTGAAGGGAGTAAAGATTTAAAAGAAGAAGACCCTATTTTCGTTATTTGGTTCAGTTATGAGATTTGAACTCAACCTTTCATATCCAAACTTTGTAATTCAATTTACTAAATAAGTTAATGTCATTAATGATAGTCATTTTAAAAACTAAAGATAGTAGTTCTGTTCCTTTTACCAACCTGTCAAACTGACAGTTAATGACAGCGCAAGTTTTTCCATACATTTTAATACAGTATCTAAATATAATTTGGCAGGTTTACAATCATATAAACGTGTATACGACAAAAGATGATGAATTTTATGTCATTTTAAAAACTAAAACAAAACTAGTTCTGTTCTATTTACCGATTTAAATAAATAATCTGTCAAAATGACATTAAAGACACTGCAACTTAAACATAGTATCAAATATAGAATCTAAATATAATTTGACAATTTTACAATCATATAAACGTTTATACGACGTATGTATACTTTATTTGGGTCTATATCACAAACCCGACAACCGAAAGACCGTCTATTGAAATCCCGACTGTATCGAAATCCCGAATATATCAAAATCTCGACATCCATAATTCCGACTGTATCAGAATCTCGACAACCATAATCCCGACTGTATCAAAATCCCGACTATATCGAAAATTTTTACAATAACATTTTTAAATTATTTCGGAGCGTAGTCACCTTGTGCTACACTTTTATTATTAATAACAATAAATTATTATTAATTTATTTGATTTTGTTGAATAATACAATTAGATTATTAATTGTTCTTATTTATTGTTAATAACAATTTAAAAGTCATTGCGCTCCGAAATAATTTAAAAATGTTATTGTAAACATTTTCGATATAGTCGGGATTTTGATACAGTCGGGATTATGTTTGTCGAGATTTTAATATACACGGGATTTTGATATAGTCGGGATTATGGTTGTCGAGATTTCGATACAGTCGGCATATCAGACGTCGGGAATTTGATTGACAATATTTCGGTTGTCGGGCTTACGATTGCCACCAACTTTATTTCATTTTAAAAACTAAAAAGAGTAGTTTTGTCCCATTTACTAACTTAAATGTCAAAATGACAGTGCAATTTAAACTCCTACCATAATTTTACATACAATCCAATAGAGTATTTAAAGTAAAATTTAATTTGACAGTTTTACATTCATATAAATATTTACACAACAATTAGTGATTGTAAACACGACAAATGTCATTTTAATTAATTCACTTTAATATCCTAAGCT